TGCTGCTGGCTGCCGAGCCGGCTCACTGCACCACATCCCGAGATACGGGCGGTTCGTGCTTGTTCCACATACCCCAAAATGTGACCATCCTCCCAAGAGTGATAGGAGGACTCTGCCTCCCTCCACTGACGAGTTTGGGCTCTGGTTGCTTCTGCTTACATCCCTCTTAGTTATTTCCCCAGAACGTGCCTTTTGGGTCAGAAAAACCCTCTTCTGTTGCCTTCTGTTTTTTTCCCACCCGTGTGTGCAAACATGGTTCAACATCCTAGTTGCCAGATCTGGCGAGAAGCATAGGCTGCTAATTTATACAGCATTTCCACATGCACCTATCTTTGGAGCCTCTGAATTTTCCCTGCACTTGGTTACTTAGCACTTTTTATTTCTGGGATTTTTGGCATCTCTGTTCTTTCTTTGGAAAGAGAACCACAAATATGGTAAGGTCTGATATAATGTGATTACTCATAGTTGTCTTAGATTTAAATGGCATCAACAGGAGATTTTTTCAGTCACTGGAAGTTGTCCTGCACCTGAAAATGAAAGGTACCTCAGCGTGGCTTTGTTTTGGATATGCACACTGAGTGAGAGGAACAATTTGGTAATAATACAGTTGATGTCTGATAGTCTGTCCATGAAAGTATGATCTAGTATTTCTCATAATAGGAAAACTTTTAAATGCTTCATTGGAAAATGGGTGTTTTCCAAAGTTATATCATTTTTATCTCCTCTAAAATCTAGCAGTGCATCAATGCAACAGAATTTTCCACAGTCCCCAGACTGAGTAACTGAACCAAGCTCTGTTTAACGCCCTGTGTAAAGTAATTATATAATCCTAAAGAGTCTCTGGTTCCTTCTCAGCATCTCTGTTCGTTCTCTTACTTTGGTCTCACACATATTTTTTTTTCCCTTCAAACCACTTTGTGTAAGTAAAAATAGAAACGGCTGAGAAGTTCTCATGAGTCCTTAAGGGCTTCCAAGCTACTCTAAGAAGAATTTTCTTCAAAGTTTTGTTTATCTCGTAAAAACCTACCACAAACAAGCCTGAAAAACCCTGAATCCAGAAAGCTTCTGGTTTCCCGGAACTGCCGAATGACATAGCGTGGTGTTTAGCGTTGAGGATCGTTCCACCTCAGACCTCGTGTCCGTCGCGTTAGCGCGAACGGGGCCCCCGGGGTGCTGCGGCCCCCGTTGTCTGCAGCTGCTGAGCGGGACGGACATTGCGCCGTTCTCCATAGGGGCAGCAGGAAACAAAACCACGAGCCTCGGGGCCATGTGGTTCCGTTTCCCCTGGGCCGGAGGCGCGCGCCAGGAGCGGGGCAGAGTGTGGTGGCCGAGGAGGGACGCGGTGCTCCGCCACGCGGCTGCTGCGTCCCCCGCCCCGTGCCCGTGCACCCCCTGTGCGGCCTCGCTCGTGTCCCCCGTGCACCCTCTGTGCTGCCTCGCTCGTGTCCCCCGTGCGCCCCCCTTGCAGCCAGGCAGGGCCGAGGGGCTGGGCAAGAGGCGGCCGAGACGGCAAGGGGCAGCGTCGGCCTCCTCCCTCTTGGCACTGGAGCCTTCGGCGAGGAGTTTGAATTTACTTGACTTTCTAGAAAAAAAGGAAAAGGCTGTTCTAGAAATTGTGGTTTTTTAAGTAGCTCTGTTGGATTCTGAAATTCAGGAAAGCAGAAGCATCCACCATGACTGAGAGACCTGCTGCAGATCGGTGAGGTTGCAAAAGTAGGGTATAAATGAGCAGGCAACAGAACAGCAAAAGCAATAAGCCCCTAAGTGCACTGACCATGGTAGTTAATATCAGTGCTCTATTTGCTGAATATTTACAGTTTGTGTTAACCTATTATACAACTGGAATACCAAAATCCTTGCAAGCAATTAACCTTTTTGCATGGTAGTAGAAAGTATAAAGATTAGCTGAGTCTGGATTAATGAGGCCCTAGTTAGTTCTGTTTCTAATTCTTTATTTGAGGAAGTGATATTTTGATAGCCAGAGCCTGGTGATGTTGTGTGCAGGTGTTTTATTTGCGCAAGCCATTTCTGAGTCCTTAAGTTCTACAATTAATAATAAAACCAAATTCTGCTGAATATGGATTTGGAGTTATTTTTTCTCAGTTTTATCTTTTTGGTAGCAATGATACAGTCTTTCACTGCTTAGACTTGGTAGATTGGAAACATTTTATGAGAACGATAATTAATAACAAGGAAGGGTAAGTTCAAGGAGTACTAAGAGATATGTTCTAGTGAGCTCAATGTTAGCTCCTTTCGGAGCAAGAGGCTGCCTTAATTGTCATAAACTGTTAAAGATGCAACAACCTTCACCTAACCACGAGAAGGAAGCAAGACAGTTTGTGTTACCTGTGCACAACTGTGGTGACGAGATGCAAGGAAGCACCAAGTCTCCCCTTACCACTACAGCAGATCACATCTGCTCAGAAGGTCCTTTTCATCTTCTGGATGCTATGAAGTCTCCCCTGTAGAACAAAAATGCCCTGAAGCCCTAATTGTATGCTGTTTGTTTCCATGCTTATCGTTGCTTTGTATGATGGAGGCTTTATCAGAGGTGAAGTGATTAAGGTTCAAAAGTCAAGTATATGGGGTCATTATTTTACTTATATATATATATATGTATGTATATGTATATATATGTATATATAAAGTTAGAAAGGGCGAATCTGGAACAGTGATTGTAGTATGTGAGCCTGAGCAAGTTTTGTCATAGAGTGAAAGTTGCTTAGCACAAGGAAGCAGCAGAAGATGCCAGAGGAAGAACCTGTGTTACTTAGGCCTAAGAGGAAAAGCAAATTCAGGTCACTGTCCCTTGCCAAATTTAAGCTAGAAGGTGCATGTGGCTGTGGACTTCTGTCTTGAATACCAAATTTAATCCTAAGAGTCTAGCAGGAGAACAAATGGAAAAAGCATCCTCTTAAAATGAACAGGACCTAGTGGTAATAATCAGAGTTTGTTCAGTTTTCTTTTGGACAGGATAATATTTAACTCTCAAAATACCAGCCTGATACAGTAGTGCAAGACCTCAAACCACATGAGTTTTATACGTTGAAATTGTAGCTTTCTGTTGAAATTGTAGCTTTCCATTGAAATTGTAGACACATATCAAGCCACTGGTTTGTGTGTGTGGCTGGTTGTCTGCCTTCGCTTAGGAGGAGCTATGAGTTTGCAGGGAGAGATCATCTGTGATCTAAAAGAAGAAAACTGGTTTTGAGTTAATAAATGTGGGCTGGAAATTCCATGGATATTATCCTTTGCCCTCCCTTGGCTTTGTGTTTCCAAGAGGTCTCCTCTTGGGGGTTGGAAGAGAGGTATATTTCTGAAACGTGCCTTCAGGTCAGAGAAAACTAGAAAGGCTCTGGAAGAACCATCTGTGATTTATGAACTGAACCTTGAATATCTAATTTAAAAAATCATAATGACGGGATTTGTCATCTACAGTTGAGGACGCTTTATATGCATATATAATTATGTGACAGTTTAATTTGGGTTAAATCTATTTACTGTGCAAGTAATAGAGTATATTATTCTGGCCTTTAGTTTATTGTTTCTGTTTCTTAAAAAACAAAAGTACAGCAAGTTCTAGTATGGTCTCCGCTGTGTATCTGAAATCAGGCCCACCTTTTTTTTTGCAATTTTCCTTCTTATGTGAATATAACTGCAGAAATTAAGTACTTTTATATCATCATGCTGTATTGTGCTCTACTGAGTAAGGAAAGCTTTACTTGTTAAGTGTCATAGCCTATTGGATTTTTCTTCTCTGCTTTTATAATTTGACTTTGAAGATTCGTGTTGTTGTGAGTGCTGTTGGCTTTGGTTTTGCTTCCTGAAGCCATAGTGCCCTACCATTGCCCTCCCGAAAGCTTGGAAGTTGTTACCTCGTTTTGTCCAGCCCCTCACATTGTCCCAAATGCATCCAGGTTCTTGAGACCTTGCTCTCTTGCAGTTTGATCTGCAAGCTTCTCCTTAATTAATAAATCACTTAATTCCCTTATTGTAAATTTGCATCATCCTCAGGATGAAGACCCTGAAAACATGAGGAAGAGAGTGGGCAGAAGGCTGTAGGACCTGTAGTTTCAGCATCTGAGAAAGTCAGTTACAATCTTCAAGTTGCAGGGAGAGCTGAGGGAGGATTGCCCAGGAAAATATGCAGGTGGTTCGGTGGCACTTTGGGTGCACACGTGGTGGTGCAGGGAGTGCTCCTGCCCACGGCATGGCCGTGGGGGGCTTCCCACCTGCCCCACAGAGGAACCTGCAGGTGTTGGGAAGGATTCACCTTCGGCTATCTCAGCTTTTACAGAAAATGTGGTTACGCTATCGTGAAGGCAAGAGGCAGGTCAATGATCTTAGCTGTGACAGTGCAGCAATATCTAAAACCCTTCCCACGGACTGCAATAAATCTGAGCTGAAATCTGAACTGTGGCATCATGGTGGCTCTCACAGTTGGTCATTTGGTTATGATAACAAATGTGTTTTTTTTTTTTTTGCAAAATGCCCGCTGTTCTTGGAATCAGCAAAAAGTATCTTTTTATTGCTCATATTTTGTCAGAAATCATGTTCACTGTCTTCGTCTGACTCTTCTTTCTTCAAAGACATCAAAGGGTGGAGAAAAACCTACATGCTGGTGATCTTGGATCAATTTTTGTGTTTGATGAGGAGAAATGTGTGGAGACAGAGAAATTCTTGTTTCTTGAACCAGAGGCATATAAAAAGCATTGCCTTTGTGAGCAGCAGCGTGTGAACCAGGGTTTTGCTCTTCCCCGTTAATACTAATGCTCTTCTCAAGCTGTCCGTGCTCCCGGGAAGCACCTCTTCACGTCTGCGTGTGCTGGATGCCTCGTTAAGGGGATGCTCATGTCACTGGGCGCTGGCAGTGGGCATGCAGGTGTCGAGTCAGAGCCCTAGGGTTACAGCATAGGCACGAGGGCTCGGTGTCCACCCCATAGATTTGGTGGAGCTCTGTCTGTGCTGTCCATGGAGCTGCGAGTGAGATTCAGCTCATTGGATGTAACTGGCTGCTTTTGTGGTGAAGAGTGACTGTTGGGACTGGCCATCTCCGCTGACTATTGCGTGAGCGTAGCCACTAACATCACAGGTTTATAATTTTCTGTGACTGAATCAGTCTCCAAGTCCCAACCTTGGGGCTGCGTCTGCTGCTATTGGAGATACTCCAGAGTATTTTGGCTGGCATCCAGCTGCCATCCCAAAGGTTGGGCATCAGACCTGCCAGCCCCACAGGTGTCTCAAACACCTACCAGTGTCTCAAATGGTCCTTGGCCTCTTAGCAGCTGAACTGACACCCAGGTGGAGCCCCACGTGAATCTGCGATAATGCAAATTCTCTTTAGGGTATGATAAAGAGGCAGGTCTTGCTCTCCTGAGCTAATCTAAACTTCTGTGCCTTGCAAGTGCCTGTTTGTGCAGCGAGTATGACAGCTGGCTGAATCCCAGGCAGGGGTCATCAAAGTGAAAACCTTAACAATTAAGTGAGATAAGCACCATCCCTTTCGATATCCCATTTCTATACAGTATTTAACAGCTGGAATACATATCCCCCTTTTGTTTGTAAGGCACATTGGCATACTTGCCTGTTGCACGGCAACATGTAGCTAACTTTTCATGACAACTGCTTTTTATGATTTCTGAGTAGGAGTTTTTGGCTCCTGTAATTTCCAGCTGAAAATTGAGATGATGCCTTATTTATAGTCAGCGAAGGGAAGAAGCAACTTTGGGTTACTATTCAAAACTTTTTTTTTAATGCTGAATATACAGATGATTTAGTTCTGAATTTACTTCTATTAACGTGCCATTTATTATTTTACCATCTTAATAGATTCAGAAATATCTCTTGCCTTGCTGCACCAGGTGAAGGATAAGCTGTATCAACCTGCTAGGTCCTTTATGCTTCCAAATTCTGAGATCTGATGGAAAGCTATGCCACTGGAAGTATTGATGCTGGTGATAAACACAGGTTTGCTCCAAGAGAAGTGGCTTGGTGGGCTGTCGCTGACTGGAGCAATTCTGTTTGAGATAGCTGTCCTGGGAGTTTACAGAGCTGTCTTCCTGGATGACACATCAGGAACTCTCATCAGCGTGCAGCTTTTTTAATATTTCATGCAGTTTATGAAGATGTCTATGAGGCAAGAAAATAAGATAGCATGTAGAGACACTTGTGAAACATTTATAAAGGTTTTTACCTTTGGATAAGCTGTTTTTATAAAGTGATATTTTATCACATTGTGTTTTCTTCCTTTCAGCCAAGGAGTATTGCAAGGTGATATTTCCGTATGAGGCGCAGAATGATGATGAACTCACAATCCGAGAAGGTGATGTCGTCACGCTTATCAGTAAGGTAAAAGCAACATTTGCCTTCTATAAGCCAATATTTTCTTGTCCTTATGTAAGTGTGGATGCAGGTTTTAATTTAGATATCATTCAGTTGGCACAAATCCCTGTTTGTGCCTTTGACACTGTCCTCCTTAACCTAGTGGTGTTTTGGCAATGAAGCATTTATAGATTTCAGAGACCTGAGTCTTCCTTTCTCTTGTGTTTTAGAGCTTCGCTTTGATAAGGTTAGACAAATAACAGCATGTGTATAAAGTCAGGAGTTTACAAGTGTTTATCTGATCAATTTTAATTTGTATCTATTGACAGATGCACAAAAAAATGTAAATTGATCCCTTTAACAAAGGTAACGGCCTCTAGAGGAAACTGGAAGACTTAAGAGAGCAGCATTTTGCAGATCTCTGTGTGAAGTCTGAGAATTGTCTTACTTGTAGGAATTGTGAATGGAGATAATGGACTTTATTTTTATGAGTTAAGACACTTATTTAAAATATCTTTAGGACAATAAATATAAGGTATAGGGAAACTAACGGTTGCTGTTGAAAATATGATTACTTGCAGCCGAAACTGGTGTCTTTCCCCTTTGCTCTCTTATTTGCTGTATCATTCCATGATACAGTTTAATCTTCTAAATATGGAGACATTTCTGACAATTTTGCTTATCGGAGCTGTTAAGGAAGAAATGACAGAATCATTTCCATGGTTAATCTTAAATTCTCAGTTCAAGGAACTTTTGAGAGATGGAGCCAGACATCTTCTAAAAATGCCTACAGTCTAGCCTGAGATCTCAAACAAGCAAAAAGCTTTAAAATATTTGAGAGATTTTTGGAAATAGGGCAGAGGTGAAACTAAGCAAATTTTAATGTTATAAAAAAAAATCACTGGTAAATCCAGCAGATTTTCCTTTTTTTATTGCTTTTGGTTATATACGTTCATATTCAGCGTTTTTATTTAATATGTTGTTCTACAATTTTTCACATCCTAGTTTACAAACAAAATGCAATCTGAACAATCATGCAAGACAATATTGTCGTTTAACATACATAGCTTCAAGAATAAATGACATGAAATGTTTCACATATTCCTAGCTACTGGCCCAGAAAGAAATAAGGTTTTGTAAAATCACAATGACACAAGAGTGAGAAGAAAATTAAGCTTTTGAGATGATAGCATCTCTTTACTACTCCACAGGAAAATGAACTTTTCTATTTTCCTGACAGTTTTAATTTCAACTCTGCAAAATTAATATGCTATTAATCTCAGTCTTTCATTTTACAGTATTTAAGACTGAATGTATCAAAGGATTTATTGTAGGTTCACTTAATTTCTTGGTCTTATTTAAAGGCTTCAGAGTTTGTTTAAATTTGTCTGACTCTTGGAAATAGTATTTGGAAGAAAAGACACAAACTAGGACAGGCTGTGGATTTTGTGAGGTGAAGAGGAATTCTAATAGCGTTTTTGTGCTTAGATGGAGATAAGAGCACAAACTGTGTAATCGATAAATGTCGTGAAATTACTTAGGAAATTGGCACTGGAGGAAGAAGAAGGAGACCCTGAGAAATACTTCTGTGGCAATGTCTCCTATATGTTAAGCTGTTTGCAGACTGAGGATGTCATCTTTTCCCAAAGAATGCATGGCATGTAATTGAGGAAAAATAGTGATGCATTTGGCAGGAAAAGAAACTGTGAAGTAAAAAAAGAAACTGTGTACATAAAAGATGCTTTAATGACTCCTGGAGCCTGGCAGCGTAAGCATGTTTCCTCCAAGGCTCATTGCAGCGACCGTAATTTGGATATGAAGGGTGGGCATCTCGTAGACAACGTCCCAGGGGAAAGCTCAGGGATACGAGGAGCGGGTGCGCTCCCGCGCTGCAGCTTCCAGCACGGCACAGAAACTGCGCTGGAAAAGGCATCCGTGTCTAGCGCCTGCAAGTGTGTGCTTGCAGTTTTTCACCTACCATTCCTTTTTGCATCTGTTCTTTCACTCTGGTATCTATGGAAGTAGGAAAATGCACAGAGCTGCCAGCTGAACCCAGCCAAGCCGCTGTGCTTCGGTTCCACTGCTTGACTGACGTTCTCTTCCCTAGTGGTGCAGCTACTAGAATTGCTATGCTGGGGGTGAACCCTGCGTACTAGAATTTATCTTGGTTCAAACTGGTTTGTTATTTTCAGTTATAGAACGTGTCATTTCTCTTGTTTCACAGAGATTAAAGGTAATTAAAATGAATCATAGCTGTGTGTAAAGCGCTGCTATTTCCAGTGTTTGCTACTTCATTATTCCGTTTTCTTTATACTTTACACTAGCCTTTCCATTAATTTAGCACTTGTCCTTGATGACTTTTTTTGTTTAGCTTGTCTTGAAAATTGTTTGCGTGATTTAAAATGAATGTTCTCGTGTACTTACTTAACAGGGTTTCTGATCACGGAAATGGCTTTTTTAAAGGGTTTTGTTTGTTTGTTTGTTTTTCCCCCGTCCTCTTTACACTTTAGTGACCAGGCTGACTTAACTCTCCGAGGTGCCTGATCTGCTGGCGGAGCTGTGTTCTCCACTCTGTATAGATACAGAGACAGCTGTAGTAGGTTAGTTTCAGTACGAGATTTTATTTGCTTTCGCCTTCCCGTTCTCCTCTGCCTGCTTCCCCCACCCCGAAACGGGGGAATCTATTCGTCTTGTCTAGCAGCCCAGCTGGGGCCTGAACGGAGCAGTTTGCCCAGCGTGCAGTGAGCAGCTTGTCCATACGTGTTCTAGGAGGTGCCACTACCCTCCTGCCCACCAGTCTGATGGTATCAAGCCATGGCAGGCGGTTCCTTTATCTGTTCTCTTTCTCCTGTGATTTATCACATGTCCACGAACAATTAGAGAAAACCAGGCCTCCAGAGAGTGGAGAATGGCAATGCAGAAGGGCTCAGCATCTCTCCATAGATGCTTTTGTATGCTTTGTCTGGACTAATCTGAGCTGCTGGGCAAACAGTGCTTACCAAGCACTGGCTCTGCAGATCGTTTTGTGGTTTGCAGGCCTCTCTGCAGAGAGGTTTTTTTTATTATTATTTGTTATTAATGTCTAGGTTAGAAGACAGAATTCGAGGGATATGGAGTCAGGTTCTTTTCAGGTTCAGAAGACCATGGGCTTGGTCCCTGCTTTTACTGCAAAATGCAGTAATTCTCATTTACTCCAAATTTTCCGAAGCAGGTGCCTGTCACTGTTTCTTGTTAAATAGCTGCAGCCAAGTCAGCCTCACCATTCTGCTCACTAATGGCTTTTGCTTCTGGCCTTTGGCTCTTGGCCTTTTAGCCAGAATCCACATGGCCGCGCCTGGCAAGCCGTCTTGCTAACCAGAGCTAGTGACCCATACTAAGGGGAATTAAATAGAAATGTATGGAGTCCTTCAGAAACTAATAGTGAGGTTGTGCTTTGCCATCACATTGCAGTTACTGTTAGTCTCTTTATAAGAAAATGATTTGCAGACTTGGCCTTCTGCGCTAGAGCATGTGAGACAAAATTAACTCGGTTACCCAGGGGCAAGGAGAGAAGGACATTAGTTTTACAGATGAGTGGAGTACTTCTTAAAACCACAAAGGCATTACCATAAAATAATGTATTTTTTCAAGATCTGTAATACCTGAAAAGTATTCTCAGTAGGAAGAGTAACTCCGAGGCCAACCTATTTTCACACTGTCACGATGGTGAATTCAGAATCACTATTTTAATGGTGCCCCTATAGGAGGGGTAAGATTGCATCAGATTTTTTTTTCCCAGTTAAATTAGTTGTCCTTATAATGCTAGTGGAGACAAAGTTTTGATCTTTTGTCAAGATCATCAAATAGCTATAAAATATGAAGAAAATACTCAAACATTTTATCTCTGTGCTTTCAATAGGCCTTTGCGTAGTCTATTTTAAGCCCTGGCTCTGTTTTGATGGATGTCCGTCGGCGTGGTGAATCAAAAGCTCATTAGATCTTCCCTGTAGGCCTCTGTGGTGAGGGAATTTGAGTGTCTGAATGGTTTTATGAAACAGCCCAGGAATGCTCTGAACAGATTTGTTGACTCCCAAATGACTTCCCCAGTCGCTTGATGAATGTGCTGTTAAGTTTCATTTAAAAGACTCCAGTGAGTCAGAAGAGGCTGATCATTAATTGGCGAAAAGGTTGGGTATTTTGGGAGATATAAGGAGAAAAATGCCATTGTGCAAGACTGATAGCCAGAAATAATAGCTGATTAAACAACATGTTGAGTCATTTCTCAGTGAATTGTGGAGGCCTAAATCGGGCACAAAATACCTGATCACAAGCATATGGTAGTAACAGTTGTTTTCTCAAAGGTGAAATTTCACCTGGAAGTCTACACCAAAAGGGGAAATCAATGATTTCACATAAATGCATTCCAAAACTATCTGAAAAAGGTTTTTCTTCCTTCCTTTTCCTCTTTGAAATGAATCCCTGAGTAGATGCACGGAAAAGGTTTTATTTATTACTTGTTGGAATTTTAGGGGTGTACATGATATTTCTTCAGTTCCTCCATTCAAGATTTTTAAATCTAAGATATTAGAAAATATTGTGCAAAATTCTAAAGGGATTTTTTTGTGCTTTCATCCCCAAGTCAGTGAAAAAGTAGATTTGTTTTCTTCTCAGCAGGAGTCAAAGAGAAATATGCTTTTTGAAGAAAGAGAACAAAAAGCAAAACAGTTTTACAGAAAGTTATTAGTTATTAGTTATTGTGAAAGTAGGTGATAATTGCAGGAGCTGAAAGGGTTTGAATGGCGAGAGGCCTTGCGATTCATGCCACAAGGTTTTCTTTACAGCTTGAAATGTTTCTATTCCTTTTTATTTTTTTCTAGAGTCTTCAAAACTTTCTTGACCACTTGTGGGCAAGGCCAGGGACATTGGTAGTAACTGCACGATACTGCTGGACACAAATGGCAAACTGAGGTTTCATCGTACTCAAATATTGATTTTTGGAGATCATATTCATAATAAATAGAGTCACTGTTAGCAATAGAAGATACATG